TGACGGTGAAGATGTTGACACAGATGTGGAAGACTCATCTGCCAAGGGAAAAACTCCAAGTAGGACCAAGAACCATGTAGTTGGTGGACACAGTGACGGTGAAGATGTTGACACAGATGTGGAAGACTCATCTGCCAAGGGAAAGAGTCCAGGTAGGACCAAGAACCGTGTAGTTGGTGGACACAGTGACAGTGAAGATGTTGACACAGATGTGGAAGATTCATCTGTCAAGGGAGAGACTCCAGGTAGGACCAAGAACTGTGTAGTTGGTGGACACAGTGACGATGAAGATGTTGACACAGATGTGGAAGACTCATCTGTGAAGGGAAAGACTCCAGGTAGGATCAAGAACTGTGGAGTTGGTGGGCAAAGTAATGGTGCTGATACCAAGGAAGAAACAATTAAACCCCAGCTGGAGAATTCAGAAGATACTTGTGCTCAGAGGATCTGTTCTTCAAGTGGTAAGGAGAGCAGCACAGACATGGAAGAGGTTTCCCTCAAGAAGATTGAGTCAGGCGGTCATAGTGTCAGCGAGAGACACGGTGATGTGGTTGGGGTGACAAAAAATTCTGAGGTTGAACTCGAGATGAGTTATGAAGATAGTGACAAATCTCCTAGGGACTTTGACAAGAAGGAGCCCTCGCCGAACCCTATGCAATCCAACCTCCCCATGCTCTTTCTAGGTAGTGATACAGATGAGGAAGAGGAGGCAGGTAATCCAGATGTGGAATCAAAGAAGCGCCCACCAGTCTCTGGTGCAGAGTCCAGCAAAGGAAGTAGAGTGAGCTGTTTGGGGGATCCAGATGTTGGATCTCGAGAAAAACCACCCGACCAAGACAAGGACAGTGATACTAATGAGGAAGTGACATCTGTGGGTCATGATAAATCGAGGGCTCAGGACAGCGATACAGACACGGAAGACGTTGCTCCATTTTTACTAAGAAAACCCCTAGAAGTGAAAAGCTGCCAGATAATAATCCCAGGGAGATCCCAGGCGGAAGGAGAGCCGTTGGCTTCCTCCGCAGTGGGTATAGGAGGGGACTTCAAACCTCGTGAAGACAACGAAGACACAGATGCCGAGAGAGAGGAATCCTATTCAGCAGATGAGAGCAACACCGATGGTAAGGAGAAAGGGAGGACAGAGAGAGAGAGAGAAATTTCAAGTATTGTTGTCCCCATAATGTCTATGGAGATTCCCAATTATCCAGGTCGTGGTTGTCCCAAAGATGCTTTTTCCAAAAGACAACGGGACTTCCTTGGGTTTTTTTTTCCCTTTCGAAAACGTTTCGC